TGATGCAAATCGGCGAATATGACGGATGTGGACATGGTGGTAAAGAAGAGAAAATATAATCATAGTGAAACACAAAGGGGATAAAGCATTTGGCCTGCTTTGTGATGGTCAGGCAGGTGCCAAACATCGACATTTAGCTTGTGCTAGCTTGATAAATTATTGGCTTTTCTATTGCAACAAAACTAGGCTAATTCTCAGGTTGCCTGCAGTGTAGCTACAGGCAGCAAACCTACAGGCTAAAGTCTTGCCTTGTTCGCTTCTGGTGGCGATTAGCTGAGGAGGAGGGGCCCACTTTCAATGTTGTGTTTACAAGCTGCAACAAACATTTACTGACTCCACCTCTAAGGGTATGTCCAAAATAAAAATGAATAAACGAAAAAGTACACAGCCCAAATCGCTGGCAATCGTAATTTTAGCGTCAGACAAGGCAAATAGCCAATCATAATATAAAATTTTGGGTCCTATTAGATTTCAAGATGGGAGCCAAGGACAACCCCCTGTAGCTTCCCTTGGTCCTTCCCTGCTCGGAAGATCGATGGGTTAATCACTCCTGCATGTCTTTGGGCAAAACACTGAAACTTAAACATGTATATGATGTGGATGTGAATTTGATTCAGTCCTGAAGAGAAGCATGGCACTTTGCACAGCAGCCTCTGGAGTTAGAGTAAAAAGTGGTTTAGAGAAGTGGAAAAGCACAAGTGCAGTCTATTTATCACTGTGCAAGAAATTCATTAATTTTCATACTAATTTACCTAAAATTGTTGCTAAAACATATTTCAATAATTACAATTAGAATATAATATGTGTTAAGCAATGGAGAATTTTAAGAAAACAATCTCTTTTTCTGCATGCTGAACCTTCGACAGTTCAGCTCTGTTTGGCTTGTTAGACTACCTGTTTTTTTAATGTAATAAGTTGCAGGTGAACTGACAACACTAGCAGCTACCCTCCTTACCCTCTGTTCATTTGGCTGCATGAGCTGGGTCCAGCCAAGCTGTGCTTAGTAAAGTCTCAAGAGGCTCTATTATCATTGACCAAACACCCGTTAGGTTAGGAGTTTTGTTTGTAATATTAAGTGTTAACATAAAGATGTTTAAATTTCAAATGATTCAGATGTTGAAGTCACTACAATCTTGGTTTAAAGCCTGGGTTAAAGCACAGACGCTCAAACTAAAATGGCACTTTCACAGGGAATTAAATGTCCAAGGCCTGTACAGTAACAACACAGAGAGCTGTGTTGTACATAACATGACCTCAGGTTTATCGCTAGCTTGGAGAGATACAGTAGAAGCCAGAGTTGAATGGCTGCAGTCAGTCTAAAACAGCTGTGATGCATTACCACACAAGGAACCAGCCTCCAAGGTATTCTGCTCTCCGTTTCCTAATCTGTTGTGACAGATGTGCACAATCAGGGAAAGAAAGAATTATTTTCCAATGAAGACATTCAATGTCTACATGTGATACAAAGACTCTGCAAAAGTGTCCAAATATTGAGATTGTTTAACATCCAACATTCCACAGTAACCGCTGGTGATTAACGTTAGCTTATTGCTAAGACATTTCAGATACATTATTTGTACGAAACCATAAATAGACAAACCTGTTTTACTATAATCATGACAGCTATAGAAAGAAGATTCCAATGAACTTTTCAATGATTCATGAAACAACTTTATGACCTTTGCTCCCTATCTTTTATGACTTTCCAAGGTGCTAACACAAGCATCCGTTAGCTAAACAGTCTGAGCAGTCCCTGAGCTAACCAGTGAGAGGTCTTTGAAGCGGCTGGACTTGTGTTTATCCAAAGTCAGTTTCTGGTCTTGGTTAGGCCATCAAGCTAAATGAGGCCGGGGCTAAAAACAGACTCTTTAGTGGGGAGGGCAGATCAACACAGCAGGCCACTGTGAACTGATTTCATGAAGAGCTCACCTGCTGTGGTTAGCAGCTAAGACCTGTTCAGATCCAAATTAAGCTTTAAGTCCTTTTTTTTCCTTCAACTTTTTGTTATTTTTCCTTTTATTTCAAGAACAAAGATGCATTTATTTGACAAAAGGCCTAGTCTGTGTGACTAAAAGAACAAAAATGCACTAGACCGTCGCTAACTGACAAAAGCTAATCAGAAACAAAAAAAAAGAACTGTGTGTCTCTGTAACTTGACACATTTACATTTATTCAAAACATTCAGACAGCTTGATATATTTACTATGAATTATGTTCTGGCTTTTTCTTATAAAGGGTTACATTGGGAAACAGTTTGAGCGAAGTTGGTGGCATGGCTGCCATTGGTATGACAAAGTCATTTTGTGTATTGTTTGGATGCTTTACCATGATGAGTTTTTATGGAAGTGTCTCAACAACAGCTGCACGTTGGTGTAGTCTGCTGTGGTAAGTACAGTAGAGGTTAGTGCTGCCTCCTCTCAGCAGGACAGTAACTTGTTCCAAACGCCGGTTGTTAGGGGTCTTACTTGTGGAGTTTTCATATTCTCGCTGTGCATGGGGAGTTCCGCAGGTTTGTTGCCGGTTTCCTCCCTTAGTCCATGTGCAAGATTATGAGGTTAGTTGGTGACTCTAAATTGCCCGTTGGTGTAAATGGTTGTTTGTCCTTATTTGCCAACTCTGGGATTGACTGGCGACCTGTCCATGATGTTCACTGTCTCTCGGCCAATGACAGCTGGGACCTGCTCCACCCTCCCACAACCCTGAACGGAGTAAGTGGTGTGGATAATGGATGGATGTCTCAACAACTATTGGATGAGTTTCAATCAAATTTGAACTGCCTATCAGAATACTATGCTTTGTTATTAAAGGAGGAGACCCCTTTTAACTGGTACATACTTGTCTTTTGATGTATATACTTCAACAGATATGAATGTTCATTCATGTCTAATGTTTTTTCTTTTTTGGTTTTTCACATGCTGTATATACATTTCAATTTTGATATATCAGTATATTACTGAAAAGGTTGTGTGTTCAGGTATACTGAAGCTTATCCAGAGCAGATATCTGTACATGCACCAGATAGAACCAAGTGTGTCATTTGACAGAACATGTTGTTATTTTTCTGTTTTTGTTATTTTTTTCTTTTCACTTTGTGTAAGATCAGACACTGAGCCTGGTCAGTGTCTGACACAACTATTAACAAAGCATTCCCTGGCCCGACATGAAACATATTGTAAATCAGGACAGACTTAATCATCTCCAGATAAAGTTCAAAAACTTGAGAGGCACCACAACCATAATCCCCATCTTGATCCCCTAAACAGAAATGTTTTGGATTTACCTCAAAGCCTTAGATTAAGTGCACAGATTTGTTCAACATGTTACTATTTTCTGGAAGATTACTTTCTTTCTGCAGGTTTTGGTAGAGCTGATACTGACTTTGATGACACACAAAATGGATAACATGGCTTGTAGTTCCCGAATTTCAAACCTCTTACATGAATTCCAAATAAGCAAAAGCCAAGAAACATATATGTTTTATCATTCTGAAATTGCAGAGAACAACTGTGCAAGTCAAGGCCTTAATTGTCCACATTTCACACCCAGGGTAGTAACTTTCCAACACTGCCCCCCAACTGTGACCCCACAATTTACAGAACAGCTAAAAGCCATGACTGACTATAACTAAGCAACAATGAAACACATTCCATATTGTCTAAGACTTTTAAATTAATAAAAGTGTTGATCATGGATATTACAACTTTATAATTTGTCTTAAAATTTGAAGGCAGGCGATTTAGTTGAGTTTATTTAGTTAAGTTTATTAGGAATCTCCATTAGCTGCAGCTATACAACTACCTACACAGTGACTGTGTCATGACATCTCACACTTAAAATCAACATAACACTTATAAACAGGACAACATTCAATATAACAACTAACATCATCCGCATAACGTTACACTAACAGACGTGACAAAACAATAATAATATAACACAATAAGTACAGCTATCACTACCATCATTACAGTAATACTTTAACAATTCTGATTATCATTATTAGTTCAGTACTGGAAATGATCATTAGTAAGTACAACATACTAAGACTCCAAACCTAGTGGTTTCCACAGTCAATACTGAGCAACTGGAGGCTCACATGACTTGTTTTTACTGTGCACAAAACATACTGATTACATTAAAGGATACATGTACATAGACATATATACACAAATACACACGCACAAAAATAGACAGAAAGTGGTTTGATTCCAAAAATGCAGTTTCTAGGAAATTGGGGTGTACTTCTAAGAGTTATTGTCTGTACTCTTTTACTCTCCACTCTCCACTCTTTTTCACTCCTCCAACTGTGTCCATCTTTTTTCCAGTCACATAAGATTGAATGCCGCTTGTTTAACCTTGTCAAATCATATTTATGTACCCAATAAAATGAAAATGAATGTTGCTGGAATTTACAGAGGAAGTTAAAAAGCGATCCAATAAAGATTTGGACTGTATTCAACAGCTATTAAACAACAGCAACCAGGGTTTGAGTTTGAGGGCAGCGGTTTTGATAATAAGAGACATGATAGTTGGTAATGGAAGATTTGTTCTGACTAATTTAAGTATTACATTGTTCATGCACCTATGATGAAGGGACATTGCAATGGTCTTTGAAAAGAACATGCAGATCACACCACTTCTACTTCACCATCAGTTAATGCAAAGTAAATCATAATAACAGCAGCTTTATTTTTTATGTTTATAACTTGTGGATTGTTTTTTCATTGGATCTCTGCATTTGAGGTTTTTTGGTTTGATTGATCTCCTGTTGCTCTGTTGGGTGAGCATTTGAAAAACTTTGTTCCAATGGCTATTGGATGCAAAAATCACAAAAACTGTCAACAGTATTGCCTTTACTTTACTTTAGTTTACTTTTTGTGATCTGATGGGTTTTTATGGTTAAGTTGTTGCTGGTTTTTCCTGTTCTCTCTCTTCAGTATCGATGAAAATTATAAAACACAACCTCCTTTCACTTACCACCATTTCCTCTTGCCCTTTAGAATCCAGAATCTCTGGACTCGTCCATCCAGAGCGCCCTCTCGGCCCTCTTTCCGCCTTTTGATGCCACGGCGCCCATTGTCCTTAGCCAGCTGTTTCGCACTATTGAGGAACGTTACCACGGTGATGCGTTACAGTGCCTGCTGGACTTCCTCATCCCCTCCAAACACCTGCTGGAGAGTGTGCAACAGGCAGCATGTGTGAGTACCAGTACATTCAAATGCACTCATTCACCTTTTTACTGCTCCCTCTTAAGTGTTGCATTTGCACAAATCTTTTCTGACTTTCAAACATTTTAGTTTACACCTTATGTTTGTCAAGTTTTGTTGTTTTTATCAAAGGTAGCTGTAATTATGACATGTACACTCATACAAGACAATAAATACAACTTGTCTGAGAAATGTGAATTAGTCTTATGTTGACACTGTGGCACCACTCCCTCACTGCATCAGGTGCATTGCCACAATATGAGTCAGAAATTATACTTTCTTAAGCTTATATCACTAAGTCCATGGTGGATTAATGTTCATAAGTACTGATAAGAAAATATCAAATCACACCCTCTCATAATCTGCAGTGGAGCTCTGGTATCTAGTCTCCAAATTCAATCTAAACCCCACCTAAATCCCCCCAGAGACCCCGTCCTCACTAGACAAACCCACCAGCATAGTCGATGCATATACGACACATGCAAACTTATCCCTGGCTGTTTGTTATACATTACTTGTTTTTTTTTTGTGTGTTTTTTGTCATGCCTTGTCTATGTCTGATATTATTTTAAAGTCTTTTATTAGTCTTCCAACACTATGTGCAGAATGTTTTTTATTTAATTTTGCACACTTGTTTAAGCATCACATTATTAAAAGCAGTAAAACAACTCCACCATAGGAAACAAAAGAGTTATGATAAAACTGAAGATTAGTCTTAAGTTACCTTTAGTGTCAAAGTTTTCCGGTTGTCTATACATCCTTGATTACACTCAAATACTATTGTGAACGTGCTTATTATTCTTATTGTGTTTATTATTTAGCATACCTTTGATAACAACAATTTACCTGAATTTATGTCAAACTTTGGGTAAATGCTTGAGTGGTAGCTCAGTGTTTTTCTCTGACTTGATGGAAACATTAAATTTTTTATTACATTTTTGAAAAACACAGAAAGATAAAAATGGCCTTACATTTTTTGGATTCATTATTTTGTGTGGTTTTACTAAGAATCAGGATGTCCAATTTAGAAAAGTTCTTATTTAATGTGTAGTGGTACTCTACTCTGTACATTCACATACAAAATGAAACTGAAACAGTTCTCGTTTTATTTTCGTAGGCTGGATTCTCTGATGTGGTTTTCCGCTGTGAAGGCTGGCCCCTTTGTCTCCATGACAAAACTGTCATCCAGTTGGCTCCTGTGAACCCTCTGCTGCTGCGTCCTGGAGATTTTTATCTGCAGGTGGAACCTTTCGGGGACCAAGCCGCTCGCATCGTCCTCAAAAGTCTTCTGGAGGAGGGCTGTCGAGAAGTGGAGGAGACTCCAGTCCCTGAGACTTCCTACCCGTGCATTTTCACCGAAGAATGGCTGCAGGACCTCAATGAAGGGCGGCGTGGGACTCCTCTGTCACGCTGCTTACTTTGCACTGATCAAGGAGTGATCAAGTTAGCCTGGGCTGAAATCGCCATCCCTGAGTTCTTAGACAAGCCTAAAATGATACGCGCATATCGGGAAGCTCCTCCTGAACCGAAACAGACTTCAGTTCCTTCCCATTTCAACTCCTCCACCCTCCCAGTGGAAACCATTTTTCTTCCCTCGAAAGACAGGATGTCTGATTCTTTGAGACCTGCAGGCTCTTCTTCCAAACTCATCAAAATGGACCAGGCAAGACGACTTCCAAAGTCCTGCTCCAAACCTTTAATCAAACCAGTGGGTTGGGTTTCTCCCAACACCTGGGACAGACCCAGCTATCGAGAGATCGAAGGGGATTATGTAGACCTGGTGGATGTCGCCAAAGAGAAGGACCAACCAATTCCACCAACCGCAGTTTCATTCAAACCAGTCAGACCTCCTCCACCTGTACCACTTGGGAATCCCTTTGGACTCACGCTGCAGTTTGCAGAGGGGCCATGTATACCGTGCTGCCAGAAACAGCTGGGGCATGAGCACACTGAGGAAGACTTGAAGTGTCGCTATAGGGACTCGTATGTAGCAGCACTGAGAAACCCAGTCCCTTTTGAAAGAGGGAGTGTAGACCTCCTGACTGCCCTGGAGGAGGTTGGACTTGGAGAAGAGGTAGAAAAAATGTCTAAGGGTGCATTTGATGCGAAAAAACATGAACTTGGAAACCTTTGTAATCCCTGTAACAAACCCATGATGAGTGATGAGCTCTGCCAATACAGACACAAGCGTGAAATTAAACCAGAAATCCCTGCACACCATCTCAAAGACCCACTTCCTACAGGTTGTGAACCGCAAAACCTAATGAAGGAACCACCCGTGGTCTTAAAATCCACACCTGGTTTGAGCTACAGTCAGAAACTTCAGATGAAACTTATCTCCCACAAATCAGGATATAACCCTACTGCACATCCAGTGTCAGAAGAGTTTTTGGTGAACTGTCATGGCGACCTTAAGCCAAATGAAAATGTAGAGGTTGTGAAGCCATCAGGGAAACACAAAGTAAAGGTCAGGTCTCTGTCCACAGTGTCAGAAACCTCTAAAGGGAGTCCACCTCTCTACAAGCTTAACAACAGGAGCAACAGTGATATCTGCCCTGAAACAATCAGCAGCATGATGCAATGTAAGAGAGGGGAAATGTTGGATCAGGTGACTCAGAAGCTGGACCGGAGGAAGTCTCCTAAAAAAGGTGAGCAGACAAGTTATGGCAGATCTACTTGTTTGATACAATCTTTTCTTTTTAACTCACCAGCCACACACAAAGTATTGTTTTTACAGCACACACAACCATTTATCATGATCTGATGCTCTCAATGCTTTGAAGGCTGCTTGAAACTGGACCGTGACCTTGCATGCTTCGGGGAAAGCAGATCATAAAGGCTCTTTGGAAAAAGGGTTCAGAGTTCACAGAGCAGTCTTTGGGTATGATCTTCCTCATGGGATACTCCCACTGCTGTCTTTGGGTTCTCCGGCAACTTATCCCCTTTACAGAGGGAGTGAACGGAAATAGCATGCTGCACCCCCAAAGAAAAGAAGGGCCTGAACTCAGTGGGTGAAAAAAAAGAGAGAGCAACATTCCTCTGATGTAGAGAGACAGAATAACATGCGAGAAAGAGGTTCCTGCATCCTCTGTACTCACTGGCATGTACCCTCATGCCCTCAGAGGGGCATGTGGAGGTCTTGACTGGAGACATGCTTGTCATGGCCTATTAGTGAAGGGGAAAAGGGAGAGTACAGGCGAGGCTTTGTTAGCTCTAAGGAGAGGCCAATTAGGATGTCTGAAATCAAAGTCAGGCTTAGTAGCCGGGCCACCGCAGTGTTTTGTGTCCAGTGTTTGGAGGCTGTCTGCCCACAGATGTTCAGCTGCAACCATGTTGATAGAGGACTAGGAAGAGAGATGGATGAAAAAATATGAATAATTAGCAATAATGAACCAAATAAGGTGGTTTAAGAAATCCATGATTTAGAGTGAGCAAAAGGAAAACTCTGATGGATTCACAGAATACATGTTTGCTAACATTGTCTTGCAATGCTTCAGTTATAATTTGATACTTTCGGTTTTCTTTGAAACAACTGTATTTGTGTTTACTGATTTTCAGACTCTCAGTCATGTAGGAGTGATACTCCCCCCACTACAGATGGACCGGACTCACAGCTCCATAATTCGAAGACAGAAAAACCATCTTCTCCAGCAGTTCGAAATCTGTCTGCAAGTTCTGACTCGACACACTCCCTACAAACAGAACAATCGAGTTTCAGCCACATCAGTGGTCTGCTTGAACTGGGCATTGTTTGTCTGCCAGGTACTTGATAAATCATAACCCCGCCACTTAACCCAATCATCTCTGTTAGTAGTCGCACTACTGTCTACTTAACGACTTTCATGGTATTTTTCATCAAAAGATAATTTGATTTTGAGTCCATCATGTAACATCATGAACTCATCTTTGACCTAGACAAAATTCTAGACAAAATTACAACTCAGCCAGACCTTGAAAAGTCCTTCAACTCCATGTTATTCAGTGACTTTGATTTGAAACAGAGCTCAGCAAAAATGTTCATTTTGTCTTTTGTCCAAGTGCTAAAGAGGGGATTTTGTTTACTTGTTCTGTTTGAAAAACAATTGTTCTGTAACCCATCAGGCAGCAGGGACAGGACAGGCAGGGCAGTGGTGGAGGTCCATGCTGGAAGACAGGAGTGGAAATCCCCTCTTGTGTCTGCCCAGAGTCTTTGTGAACTACTGCTCTACTTACACTCCATACTAAGGTAATGAAAAACAATAGCAACAAGGTGTCTCTATATCAAAACCTTTGAGAGATCTAAGTCATAATATTGTGGGAGTCATATTCATATTGAGTATGGGGGGGATATTCTTCCAAGCAGAAGAAGCTTTTGTTGTTGTCCCAAGTGTGTTGGTATGTAATAAAAGATCTGACCACAAGAGGGCAGCAGAGCACCAACTGAAACATTTTCATTATCTAGACTAAAGTGTAGGTGTCCAACGTAGGGTGTGAGGTACCCTGGGGGGGGGGACCAGGGATCTCGGGGGGAGAAAGACGCTTTGTTCTGAGGTTGTCATGACAACACACTTACTTGATCAGGTAGGTCTTTTGTTAAGAACACTTGTGTGCAGACATATTTCAATGGGATGTTAAGAGAAAAAGTGTTACACTTATACATGTAAAGAGACATTTATCAATGGTAAACACAATAATGACAAAAATTAATGTTAAAATAGATTTTTTTTCATTGAGTCTGGGGGCAGCTTTAACTTAGATACAGGGAGGAGGGGCTCAAAGGAAAAGAGTTTGGGAACCACTGATCTAGAGGAGAACAATATGATGCAATTTTGTAGATCCAGACTTAATGATCCAATTGGGTAATCTCTTCAACATTGTATTGAATAAAGAATCACGATATTACAAACTGAAAGGTTGCAAAATATCCCATTTTAAGATCAGCTGGCAGCAGCGCTGACCTGTGCTGACCCTCTGCCAGACTGGTGTCAAAGCACAGCACTTAGAGGTCTTCTTACAAACACTCAGAAAGTGTTGTTTGTTTATACTGGGTTTAATGGAGTCTTTGAAGTTCAGAAAAAGCCATTTCACCAGAGTTTGGCCTTCCCCTGTCCCCACTCAAGGGCCATACCACAACAGAGCGTAGCCAGGCAGGCTGCCAGCTGTCTGCTATGCAGCGTATCGCTAGACTTAGCAGCCGTGTCTGATGAGGGCTCATCCAAGAGGGACCCAAGAAAAGGTCATTAGGAGGAGTGTGTGAGGGCATGAACGTGTGGAAAAGGATGTGTGAAAGAAGAGCGTGTGGGTTTCAGAAAGAGAGAGAAAAAAAGTAAACAAAGACTAGGGTGTGGAATAAGTTGGTAATACTAGAAGTAATAAAGTGAACATGTCTAAATGCACACTAACCGTCATTGTTTTCGTAGGAAAGAAGTTCAAGAATTGGGAATGACGTTGGTCATCAATGCCAGGAAAAAGCCTCCCTCACTTCATTTCTACAAAGCTCTGCTGATGGCCCAGGTTAGAAAAACAAACGTGCATGCACACGTCAGAATCAGCATACTGGATGTGCAAAAACACAATCACACACAGACCATGTCATCAGATTCACAGAGGAGGGAAATTATAACAGGATTAGTCATGTGTGTCTTTTTTAATTTATTAAACCAGGAGAACCTCATTGAGATTAAGAACCTAATCTGCAAGAGTGTCCTGGCCAAGAGGGGGCAGCAGCACAACAAAGAGTTACAGACATAAAACACAGAGTAATTACAAACACAGTTTAACATGTCCTGAGTCACAGAGCAGGAAGTCATCAGTCAAAGCATCTACAACCTGAAGCATCTTCCTCACACACCTTCAATCTACTTTTAAAATGATTTAAAGAGACAAGCTCCCCCAGACACAGATCATCCTGCAGGAGATTCCAGGAGCAGGAGCAGCGTACCTGAAACTCCTTTTCCCCATTTCAAGACGCACTTTGGGAACAGAAAAAAACAACACGTTTTGTGTCTTCCAGCACTTTTCACATGAATACAGTTACACAAGTACGCGGGAAGAAGGTTAAGTAAAGCCTTATAAATAAGGACATGTCAGTGAGTTTGTCTACGCTGAGACGATACAGCCCAGCTGACTCGATCATACAGAGTACAACGATGAGTCAGGGCCCTGAGATTTGTTATGAATCTCAATGCACCATGATATACAGTACCCAGAGATGTTAGGCACTGAGAAGATGCATGCACATATAAAACATCACCATGATCAATCAGGGTCATGAAAGTAGCAGCAACAATTTGTTATTTTAAAGGCTTAAAGGCTTTATATGCGATTTTTCACACTTAGCCTACATTTTTTGAGTCCTGTCTTCAGTTTGTTTATATCACCGGGACGGCCGGCTGACTCCTCCCCTCATGTATAAAAGTTGTTTAATTGAGGGACTAGAGAAAAGAAGAATAACATACTGTACTCACTGCTTAACTGTGTTTCTAGATCACACTCATTTCAGGTGAATTTACAAGAAGATACGAGCATAATAAAGATCGCTAGCATTAGCATGCTAACAAGTTGTTTTGGTTTCATGCTGGTGCTCAAGGGCGACATCTGCTGGATCAAAAAAATCACATATAAAGCCTTTAAACTTCGTTACAAGTTGCTGAATATGAAGCTTGAAAGACAGAGTATCAGCAATTACGAATCCAAGGTATTTATAAGATGATACAGACTCCATCACATCACCTTGAGATGTAAGTAAATGTGCGATATTTTGGTGGCAAAGACATACTAAGGGGTTTCTATTACTGTAGGTGGGTCACATCTTTTCCTACAGTGAAGATAAATGGAGATTTTGATTAAAGGAGACACTAATCTAGCAACAGTGCAATTTATGTCAAATAATAAACATTTAAGTCCGTTCTGATTTTTTGTCTTTAACCTACTTAACCCTCTCTACAGGAGCAAGCTCTCCATGCTGTCCACAGTCTCGTGATGCTGGTAGATAAAGACACTTGTCCTCGACCTGAAAAACAGCCAGGGTTACAGGTCAGAACATACATTCCTTTACTCTGATTTGACGCTATTGAAGAACATTTTTTTCTATATTCATAATTGGCCCGTTGTCTCTCTCTCTGTAAGATGGACACGGTGTCATCCATGAAAGCCCTCAACAAGACAGTGGAGGCCTCACAGCTGACCTCTGACCTGGGAGGGACCTTCACTTACAGTCACACAGATTGGCTGCAGTTCCATCAGGTAATGAACTTTAAATCTGTATTTACAGGAATGCTTGCAGCTGTGATAGCACAGCCCACCCTTGCTTTGTTTAACTGGAGTTTCCACAGAACTGCAGTTCTGTGGAGTTTCCACAGAACTGCAGTTCAACACATCATCCGTGAGTGAGTCAGGGGAGGATGTGGTCATAGGGAGAGATTCATTAGTTTATTCACTTCATGCAAATATTACTGATCGTTAAAAGGGGGTTCATATTTTATCATTTCTCATACCACCTTGATCTCTAATCTTTCAGGCTCAGATGCACCAAGAAGCAGGTCGACGTCATGTGAATACATACATTGTTAAAGAGTAATTTAACAGGAGTGATCTTTATATCAGTCAGCTTACAGTTTTAACCAAATTAAGCACAATAATAATAATAACCAACAACAGTTATAGCTCCATAAAAAAACCTTTCTATGTACAATAATAGCACAGTGTTCTTGTCTTGTGCACATTAGAGCATTAACCTTCAGGTCAGAGTGAGGCAGCAGAAGTTTGTTATGTAAACCAGGGCTTCTAATGCTGAGGTCAGCAGCCTATCTGGATGTAGAATACATCTGGGGGGGAGTACAAGAATGCAGATAAATGATACAGTACATACCATTTTCTGCCAAAGACATCATGTTTTTGTTTTTCCTGGTGTAGATCCATTTGGTTTGAGGGTTTCAGGATATTTGTTAATCTTCAGGCTCCTAAAAATGAAACAATCAAAGAAGAAAAAACATTATCTATCAGATATCAGAGATATCAATCAATCAATCAATCAATCAATCAATCAAACTTTATTTATATAGCACCTTTCAGACAAATTAAATTGCAGTTCAAAGTGCTTTACAAGAGTGCAGAAAAGTTATTGATGAAAAAGGGGTTCATAAAATCATAGAAAGACTAATGCACACCAATAAGAATAAAAAAAATATGTATAAAAATGATAAAAAATAAAATGCGACACATAAAAGCAATAAGATATTAAAATTAATACCTAGGAGAAGAATATTTAAAATTGTAGTAGGATAAAAAAAGACAATACAATAATGTTAAAAGATTTGAATTTATATAAAGCACTTTATAAAAGCCAGACTGAATAAATGAGTTTTAAGACTGCAAATTCTCGGCTCCTCTTAGACCCTCAGGAAGGTTGTTCCACAGTCTCACATATATGTGACCTGTGACAATTTTACTTTTTTTGCCTTTCATGAAAGAACAGCGAAAGAGACACTGAAAACATTCATAGAAAAAGTAGGACAGGACATGCAGCAAAAGGCCGATGGTCAAACTCAGGGGGTCACACTCCCCAAATGTTGGTAAGGGGACACACTGATGTATACAAATGGACAGTCCTGAGGCATGACTTCATGCAGTAGTTACAATCATCATGGTATCATGATACAGTTGTTAAGATCAGACTCCCCCTGCTATAGCCAGTAGCATACTGAGGTCAGTCCGCTGTGCATGTTGTCATCCCTGGGATAATAATCAGAGTGACCCTTATATAATATCTCAGTAGGTTTGCTCTTTGGTATGTCCATTCAGCTACATAGGACAGATAACTTTGTTATTCACTTCAACTTAATCATACATTTAATACATTTCAGAGGCTGCTGTCTTTCATGACTGACCTGCGGGGGGCAGACTACTTGTTGCAGAAGGCCATCAAGAAGGTGGATGGCAGCAAAACAATGGACTCTCCACAGGTGAAATGAAACAGCAGAGTGTCATGTTAATTCATTAGTGTCAGCCATGTTGACTTTACGTTAATTATTCTCTTTCTTTTACAGGAGGTGCAGCAGTGCATCCATGAACAGAGGGCCTCGATGAAAGAGGTGCTGGAAGACACTCGACTGGTCACTCTGCAGAGGGAGGGAGGGGCTTTGCTCGCCAGAATGAGAAAAGAGGAGTTCAGGTTCCCACAGTCTGAAGACTACAGGTATGACATCATACGGTCTATCTTCTGATTCTCTCCTTTATGAGTGTGTGATGCAATAGGAGGTGTAATAAGCCATCAGGAATATAATCATCAGTGTTGGTAGGTGGACTAAGATTGTTCATTCATAGTATATGATCACTTTATAATGTGTGGATTCATTATTACTGACTGAACTACAGAAAAAAGTTAGATAAAGAGTAGTTTTCCTCCAACCTGACCTGCAATATTCACACTGCCTCGGATCATTTATGCACATTTATCGACAATAATCTGAAAGTGTACGTACAGTTCTCTAACAATACAAGATCACCTGAACACATTTTTTACACAGTGACATTACTTCTATTGCTTCAGTAAAAAAATGTGCACACTTCTTTTAATAATAATTAAAATGGATCATTCTGTTTCAAATCTCTGTATGTTTTAGGGCTGTTGTTCAAACAGATGCACTTGATCTTAGATTATCATTCACACTGAAAACCAACAGAAACAGGTGGATAACGATATGGTTTATTCCAGAAATGTTTTTGTTTTTTTTAATATTTGAGGGATTTATGTGTGCATGGCCCTCAATTAGTTTTGAACAAAAATTCCTCCCTCCATAGTGCAATTGAAGTGAAATTAAAACGGCTTATATTGATGTCTGGTGTTGTATGTGACTTCACTGTTTTATATTTGATGCAGAGATGCTCTGGAGGCAGTGACCAGTCTGTATAACCAGGTGGAGGAGAAGCTTCACACACTGGTGATGAGATCAAACGAGTCTCTGCAGCAGCTGGAGTTCCTCTTCAGACTCAGAGATACGGAGGCTAAAATGAGCACGGTAGGACTACATACAGTTAAAGTATATATGAAAATATGTGTTGGAACAGCTGAGATCCATTAGCTTGGTTGATCTGAAAAAAAAAAAAAAAAAGATGCTAGGAGCTTGCCAAGATATGCCGGTAATCCAACATTGCATAATACTTTCTTACATCTTTCAGACGGGGATGTGGTTTAATACGGAGGGCGAGCAGAGACTAAAGGACTCTTACGCAACAGGCGATACCCTGGTGTGCACTGAAAAGGCCTTGCAGCAGTTTGATCTGTTTCTTAAAGAGTCTAAGGTATCAGAGCAATATTACAAGAACTATATATAAAAAAAGAAAAGTTGCACCCATTTGGAAATATGTGATTCTAAACTTAAGTTAAAACAATAAAATCTCTTGGGTTTCTGTTCCTTTGTCTCAGGAGAAGCAGCAGCAAGCCTTGACCCTAGTGACGCAGGCAGAGGGAATAGTCGCCCTAAGTGATTCCAGTCCTGCAGTAGATATTTTTCGGACCCTGATCAGCACTTTCAAATCCAACATGGATGATTTTACTTTGCGGGCAGAACAGAGATTCAAAGATCTGAAGACACTGATGCATGTGCACCACTTCTGTGCACAGGTTTGTGCTTCACATGTTTTCAATAATCGAAGATTTCTTGTTTAAGTCTGTTACTTTCTTGTCTACATATTTCTGACTGATTTGGTTAAAATCACTTTCTTTCTCTCTTCTCAAGGCTTCTGCTCTGGCCAAAGAATGCAGTAGTTTTCTGGAGAAGGTAGAGCCGGGTGTTACTCCGCTCAGACCCTGAGCACACTCCAGATGTATGAGGAGAGATTAGGTGATGAATTCTCCACCCCACACTTCCAGGCAGTGAAAGCGCAGGCCGCTGCCGTGGGATCAGGGGCGTCATGGGGGATAAGAGTGTGGAATGCAGCCTGGGTGTTACGCCAAGAAGTCAGACGGCGTCTTGAGGAGATGCAGAAGAATGAGAAAGGCGTAGATAAAAACCAGATCCAACAGAGCACAGCTGTAAATCCTCAAGGGAAAGATGGGGGCGCTGAGAAGATGGAGAAAAGGAGAGAGGTGGGGGAGGATGAAAGCTCTGTGACCGAGCAGCTAACTTCTCAGACAGGGGCAGATGTCTCAGATAGAGAAGGAATGACCACTACTGCTGAACCAATCCACCACTGTTTAAAACCTGACTCAACATGGAGTGGAGAAGAAGAATCCCAAACACAAAAATCACCCAAATCACTGGTTAAAAAGGATCAAATGTCTCCTATTACTCCACAAACAAACCACTGGAGTCCAGATACCAAACAGAGGCCAAGAGAGCACCTCAGCGAGGCAGATCTGAGGAGTGCAGACCCGGCTGAAGGGGGCAATGATTTTCCAAAACACCAACCTTTGGGTCGTTCCCGGAGCGAGGGCTCGTGTGTGAGCTCTCACTTGTCGATTCTTTCTGGCTTTTTACCTTTGAATGTGAGACACAAACACTGTCAGATCAAGGCACCACCGCTGGAACCAAATCTGCAGCTCGTCCAAAATCTGCCCGTTTCCCAGAACGAGAGTTTACCGTCAGGAAACCTGAGCTGGGAGTCAAAAAGAGACAGCAGTGAGGCGGGTGACGGATGTAAAGACTCCAACCGGGGCCCTAAAGACTTCAAGTCCCGAGAGACATTACTCACACCAACAGAGAACAATGGCGACAATGTTTTGTAAGTAATGCCGTTCTCTTTTTGCCGTAATCCAAAGTTCAGTTAGATGCTGTCCAGAACATTACACATTACAAAGGTTTCACTGTTAAACAACACCGTTCCCTCCTTACAAATATATAATGTCAAACTGTATGAAATAATCAAATCAAATCACTTATTTCACATTTCTACCTTTCCTACTTTCCTTTCCTTCAGGAAACTGCGGAGGATCATGGAGGAGCTGCTGTCCACAGAGAGGGAGTACGTGAAGGCTCTGGGTTACATTCGAGAGCACTACTTCCCCGAGTTGGAGAGGGCCGACGTTCCTCAGGACCTCAGGGGCCAGAGGGGGAGCATCTTCGGTAACTTAGAAAAACTCCATGACTTTCACCGGCATCATTTCCTGAACGAGTTGGAGAGCAGTGTGAACGAACCCTTCAGGGTGGGACGCTGCTTTCTGAGACATGTGGGTACAACCGGTGATATGAGTTTTGGTTTGCAGGTGTGTTGCAGATTTCTAAACCTGTGCAGCTGTTGTTTTGTAACCAGGTTTTTGTCTGATGTCAGCATCTGTAATGATGGGTAGCAGGGTATGGTTTCCTGTTTTAGACTTAACACAGAGATAACTTGGCTAAATCGCTTGTTAGCAAAAGCCCTTCCAGATGTGTCCTGACTGTGGAATGATGTCATCAGCATCCCAGGAATCATTCAACAGATTCTGTAGTGGGAAGTTAATTTCATACTGCTGTGTTGTCTGCACTTTTTTTTGTGATACATGCATTTTGTTGTTGTTGTTGTTGTGATAAACATGTTGTTTTTATCCCTTTTTATTTCAGAAGGAGAACTTCGCTTTGTATGCCCTTTACAGCAAGAACAAACCGCAGTCTGACTGTCTTCTCATCAATCATGGACAGGCTTTCTTCAAGGTGAGAACCATTTCCAGCCTCCCTTTGCTCTCCTTTTATTTCTCCTCTTTAAACCACATCACAAACTTTTTAAACAGCCAACAATCTTTGCAACCAATGAGCCTTGCTTCAAGAAATGGTTAACTCAGAGAAATGACATACTAATGAAGTCAAATCACTTTCTCTTAACTTGTTTATTTCCAATAATGCATTTCTGTTCACCACTTATACTCTTAATAGATTACTGCACACCCTCGTAACAGCAGTTTGTTTTCCAACTCAGCACTTAGCATCATCCTGATGGCTTTAGCAGTACACATAGTTAGCCCTGGTGCAGACTAAAACTGTGACCCGTCTCCTTAATCCATCAGCAAAAGCAGCAGATGCTGGGGGACAAGATGGATCTGTGCTCGTATCTGCTGAAGCCTGTGCAGCGGATCAGTAAGTACAGCCTGCTGCTGCATGACATGATGAGAGAGTGTGGACCGGGACAAACCAGAGAGCTGGCTGAGGTCAAGGCCGCTCTGGAGGTCATCCATTTCCAGCTTCGCCATGGCAACAACCTACTAGCAATGGACGCCATCCGCCAGTGTGATGTAAGTTTGTTTTGTTTAACGTATGTGTGATTTTATAACCAAACCTTCAAATAGAGGAGGATTTCATGTCTTATATACAGTTCATACATATACAGGTAAACTGTGTACATAGCATGTACTATAGAGTGATGAGAATGAGTGGAGCAACACATCTGGAACCTCTCCAGTGATAATAAAAGCTGAGTTGAGAAACAGGTACTAACAAGAAATTTCTTTGTAAAATGATGATGAGTCAAGTGAGGAGTGAAACATCTTTCTTTGGCATTGGATTTGTTTAGTCATCATTATCAATTTGACGGGATTGAAGATAAGAGTAGAGCCAAAGAATGTTTTATTTCATTTTGAATCTTTGTCATGAGATGGAGTGGGAGTAGGGTGATGGTGGGCTGGCGCTCTTTAATCTTGAGAGCCAAGATGAAGGGAATAAATTTGGAGTTTTGATGGCTGTTCAAAATGTTAAAGATGTTTTTCGTAAATTTCCCTTGCTTTTGATTAACCATGCAGAGTTCAGTGAGTTCTTCTTTTGTGACCTGCAGGTGAACTTGAAGGAGCAGGGTCAAGTCATACGTCAGGACGAGTTCTTGGTAACGTTCAGGAAGAAAAAATGTTTCCGCCACATTTTCCTCTTTCAAGAACTCATCCTCTTTAGCAAGACCAGGAGGACAGATGTAGGAAATGACACCTATATCTACAAACAGTCATTCAAGGTACACATATGACCACATACTCAGTCTTTGTGTGCAGTTCAAATGAATTACTGTGTATCAGAATGCTGCAGAGAAAAAGACCCAGTATTACAACTACCACAGCCTATTATAACAAGTCAGTACATGATGACTTCCTACATACGTATGCATGATGCAACTTTAAATGACTTTTGTCTGCTGGTACATTTACTCATCGTGTACAAAGAAAATGTACGTTTCCGTTGTTTGTCACAATTTGAATTTGAAATCACAAAACGAGGCGACTGGAAAAAAACGACAACTGACTCTGAACTTTTGTCCTCATTCCAAACATTAGAGTGACTTTAAGATTAAGATTAAGGTTAACTTTATTGTCCCAGTGGGAAATTTGTCTTGGACTTCACAGTGCTCTCTGATGCAGTAGCAAATTAACAAAAATACATTAATTCATCATCAAAACATGTCAGTTAAATAGTCATTCAATTCCACAAAAGTGAATTACTAAAACCATAAATATGTAATAGTTAAGAAGAAGAGACACAACTGAAAACAAAGCAAACCATTCATAGTACATTTCCTTCATTTGACTTTTCCACAATAGCATGAGGGTATGGGTGAGACAAAAACATCAAAAAAAAAACATTAACACCATAAGCTTCAAAAAAGCACCACCAGTCACTAATAGAACGCTAATAACAATGTGGCCATGGCTCCATTTGTAATATTTATAATATACAATAATATATAGTATAATAATTATAAATAATATACTCCAGATAGCTGTTCTACCAATTTTTTATTTATTTATTAATTCTTTTGCTCAACAGTTCCGCAATATTTATTATAACGGGCCTCCTGATGCACTGCATAACACCCAATAACAAAAGTGACAATAGTGTGTTTGTCTTTATTTATATTTAGACATCAGATGTAGGCATGACCCAAAACAGCGGTGACAGCGGCCTGTGCTTTGAGATCTGGTTCAGGAAGAGGAAAACACAGGACACATACACGCTTCAGGCCGTTAGCCGAGAGGTGAAGGAGGCCTGGACCAAAGACCTGGAGCGGATCCTGTGGGAGCAGGCAGTACACAACAGAGGTACTGAAACATACACATTAACGCTTCAAAACATACACACTCTATGACTCCAGACTGGAAATGGTTCATCCTTAAGCAACAGATAATTCCTTTTATGTGTATAAAATATCATATGCATTGAAACCCTAAGCAGACATGCGTCCATACATTTATATATGTAATAAAAAGTCATTTCTGGTTGTTGTTTTTTTTCTCGGGATCTTGACTTATTCATCTCATATCCCCACAAAACAAACAGAAGAGGGCTTAAATGATGTCATCAGTGTGGGCAGTGACAGCATGGGAGGTCCTGGTCTGGTCAATCACAGTGACCATCCTATTGTTTTGTTTTCTAGATCCACAGATCCAGTTAGTAGAGAGAGAGAGAGAGAGAACAAGTGAAGCTATCCTGAAATAACGAGAAAAATAATTTGAGATCACGAGAAAATAACTGAAAAGAAGTCATTATCACGTACAAACATAATAAATAAAATGTACAGACGCTTGGGGCTTCCATATATAAAGACTCATTGAGTCTGTTTGGAAGGCTACTTAATGTCAAAGTTGATAGTGTTTATAACAGCACTATGGATAATGTGTCAGATGAATGTAACAGAAGCTCACTGATAAAGCCTGGATTGTTCAGCATATAAATATTTACAGTGCCTCTATCTGCAGACATGACTATGTTTGGCAACTCCTGGTAACAGATAATGGTAGATGAAAGGAGTTTACATTTCATGACTTTTTGAAAGCCGTGTTTGATAAAGCTGAACTGTTAAAAAATATATCATGTTTGCCTTTACAAAGTCTGCTACAGTTCCTCCTAAATGTTTTCATTAACTTCAGTGTCACATCTGAAATGTGATGTGTTTTCAAGCTAATCATTTTGGGATGTGTTTATTTAGAGGTCCGTATGCAGGAGAGAGTCTTCATGGGTATTGGGAACAAGCCTTTCATGGATATCCAGCCCAGTGATGCAGCGATCCATGACAGAGCCGTCAACTATGTTCAAATGGGAAGAGGTGAAACCTATCCACCTAATTATACTTTATTTTCATTGTACTGGTCTGCAGATACTGTGAAATTTAACGTCCCACTTTGGCTATTTCGGTGTGTCCCATTTCCTCTCCTAAAACCTATTCTTACCTGGTTCATGCAGAAAACAAGATGCAGCCCACTGCAGGATCATGTAGTTCACAGGATAAGCTTCTTGGCGGACGACCGATATCTGTTGGTTCAGTGAGCACTTCCTCTTCCTCTTCTTCCTCTGGGAGGGGTTCCCTGTCCCATGTGGGATACCTGTGTGAGTCAAAGAGGAGGGTTGTGTCAGGGGGCCTGGGAGGATACAGAGCACCTCCTGGAGTTTTGGAGGAGGACGACCTGGACCATGAGAGTGGGACTCACAACTTACTGTGTAAGTTTAGCTATAATCAAATATTTTTTTACCAGAAAGTTATTACAATGTTTGTCCATATAAACCAGAATGTGCAATGCAACAGCCAATATCCCATGTGTGTTATTAACAGCTCCATTACGACTTCATTGAAGTTGCTGGGTGTCATGTTCTAAGCCTGAAAACACCTGTGCAGTTTTGGTTCTCTTTGTTCTCTGTGACAGGGTCCAAGATCATCGGTCAGAGGTCTGGGTCAAGGATCATTTAAAGACATCCAAGAACATTTCAAAAGAGTCGTGGTTGGTCTCACTGAGGCCTGTTGATCATCCATCGTTCTTCTCATTGGTTCTTTGTTGAATCAAGCCTTCTCTGTGTTTCAGTGGACAGCTCTGAGTCGTCAGGAGAGAGTGTAAGCAACTTCAGCAGCTCCAGTCACAGCTACCACTCTGCTGCAGGAGGAGAGGTGGAGGACGCCTCCTCCCTCTGTGTCTCCACGATCACTGTGAAGGAGGCAGCAGCTGCTCGAGCAGCTGAAGTCATCCACAAACCAAGAGTGAGGGCAGGATCCCCAGAAAAAACCCCACCACCAGTTGCACCCAAACCCAAACCACAGCACCAGACCAAGGCTGTGCCCTGTGGCAAGGTACAGGAAACAGTAAATTACCATGAAATGAATAATTGTTTTTATGGTAAAACAGTTGAAAGGCAAAGAAACTAATGCATCCTTAAAGTCAATGACTCACAGATTCACTCATTACTCCCACAGTAAACAGTGTCTGACATTCTTTAGCTGAAACATTTGTTTATTCTTGGACAATGATTATCTTCTTCTGGCTTCATTATTAAATAAAACAAAATTCATGAATATTTCAGGTTCAGAACACGAGTGTTGGAAAATCCACTGAAGTTTGACCTGTGAGATACGGTACAATGTAAGTATAGTTCATTGATTGATATATGCACTGCGTGCAAATATACATCACTCAGTATTCTTATACTAGATTATCTCTAATAATGAATGCATTGTTGTTAGTTTGTATGTGTATATGCATAACAAACCAAAATGAAAGTTAGTTTCTCAGTTGTTGTTTTTTTCTTACAGATTTTGAGGCTCCTGAGCGGTCTTTTGGTGCCACCATTGAAGATCCAACCAGCTGTTACTGTAATCCATTTCCACTCTGTAAATAGATGTTCTGTTTAAACTCACCACTTAAACAATAGGTCGGAAACATTTCTATAACTGTACTGTACTTTGAACTTATACTTGTGTTGAGTTTGTGTGTGCATACCTGATGTGGCTTATTGTCGAGAATACTCACAGCTCATGCACAGGATTCTAGAGACACTCCAGACTGTAATTCATAACCTAATGCTAAATGTTAAAGTGGTTATAGAATGGTGCTAAAGAAAACAAGCAGACTTTAATAACTTCACCTGATCCCAAAGGAGTTTCATCATGTCTTGTCACGGTCTGTGAAGAGTTTGCTTTTAAACGATAAACACCATAATGCCATCTTTTATGTCGTAAACATGTTGCCTTTTCTTCAGATTTGTAAAACATAATAACAATGTATGTCTTACTTATTACCTCTAAAATGAAACACATTCTTTCTTTTAATTAACCGTTGTGTACAGATTAATATGCTTACTGGTATGCAGATACTGATCCACATAACAGTTGTTTGGATTTATATTTCAAATACAGAATATTTGAAGTGATGATGAAAATGTTGGCTTTTATTTGCACCTTCACGTTTTTGTATCAGCAGTAAACTAAACCCCTGTTATAAAAAACAGAACGATACAAACTTTGATATTGGTGGCAGATTTGCCTTTGCAACAAATATAGTAACACTTAAAGTATTCCAAGCTTCACTGTCTAATGCCTAATATTACAATAGTATCTAGTATCTAACAGTTTGGATACTGTTGTACACAGACATTAGTATCTAAAGGGAATGTTTTACTGACCTGCTCTGAACAGGTTCCTCCCTTCATGTCAGAGACTGTGATTTATGCAATAGAGAGAGAAAAAAATCACACTTCCCTTTAACCGTTTAAAGGAACTTTCTCTGGAAATACTTGAGTCATGGACTTATTCAGTCAAAGAATGAATTCCTATTTTCTGTTACATTATGGATCTGTTATGCTTGAATAATGTGTCCTAATTGTTTCCTGTATTGGTATTTATTAACCTTTATTAAAGGCTTTATATGTGATTTTTCACACTTAAATGTAGAAATCAAGTATATCCTCTGAAAATAACTCTGTGAGTCATGACTGTCTACAATGGGTGTAACAGAGTTTTCAGAGTCCTATCTTCACTTTGTTTACATCGCCAGGACGGCCGGCTGACTCCTCCCCTCAAGTATAAAAGTTGTTTAATTGAGGGACTAGAGAAAAGAAGAATAACATACTGTACTCACTGCTTAACTGTGTTTCTAGATCACGCTCATTTCAGGTAAATTTACATGCAGTGTGAAGATACGAGCATAATAAAGATCGCTAGCATTAGCATGCTAACACAACAATGCAGCGCGAGTTGTTTTGGTTTCATGCTGGTGCTCAAGGGCGACATCTGCTGGATCAAAAAATTGCATATAAAGCCTTTAAGGTTCATTTAGAGTTACTACTGTTTATGGCTCTTTTTTCTGTCATTGTTATTCTGAAGCTGACATTTTTTTCTACAGGATGCACACATTTCTTATTTACTCTGGAAGGAAGTCGGTGATAGATGTACCACAGTTCAAGCCTGGCAAAGGCACTTGGTCATTTCTGCTGTGTGGGTTTGGACAGAGTTCTGTTAATCACTGAATTCACTTTCCTGATGTAATGCCCTGTGCTGCAGCCAAGACTTGTGTTTGTGGTTAATACTTAGCCTGCCCAGAGTGCTTTAAATCATATGACTGGCTCTATCCTCTACTTTGAATGACAATGTTGTAATTACAAATTCATTATTGACTTCAGTGTATTCGGGTGCTTAATTGGAACTTGATGTCATAGTTGAAACCTGATATTGAGCTCAGGACAAATCTGCCGCAAACTTTTTAACAAGAAAAGGGAAAAAACAAAAGTTAAGCTTTGACTTGAATAGTTTGTACCATTTGTCCTTCTGTGAGTACGGTTCTGTATTTCTACTTTTCTGTTGTCAAAAAATGCTGAAAGAAACCAAACAAAAACAAAAAACACATTGTGCACTTACACATCTCCATACAGTAGTTTTTTTCTTCCCTGACCTTCCTTCCTGAGCTCATTCCTATTGCAGATGTTAATTAGTGTAAAATGGGTTTAGCAACTTATTTCCTACAACATCTGGGCACTGCAGTTCATTGAAAAAGCAACTTGATTCTGAATAAGCAGAACATTTTAGTATTAATTCCCATAGTGTGTGAGACTGATGCAATGAAAAGCTCTGATATTAACCTTATTGAAGGAACATGTCAGCCAGTGACACAAAAATAACGATAAATACGACCGTAAGTATCATCATCCAATTGAATTGATTTATTTGTCCTTGTCCTTTGAAGGAGCTGAAATGAGGGGAGGGGGAGGGGGGAAATATTAAACCTTAGTTTGAACTATTTCTGATGCCCAGTTTTTTAAATTATATTAAAGATAAACAACTTGTTGCCCTACTATGTCCAATAAACGCATCCTCATGTGTAACTACATCTGTTTTGTTTTCAACGTGTTCATTTATTATTAGAAACAGCAATGTATGGATACAGACACTTCATGACACTAAACATTTTAAACGAGGTGTACAGTATTTGTCTGGCTCACTGTTGAACACAGTCAACAAGTTCAGAGGGGGGTACCTTATTCTGTGGAAACAACGCAATAGCAAACACATCACTTCTCTGACGTACAGTGTGTAATGAATTCATCACTCGAGGAAGGTAGGCGCGCTCACGTGCGGTTAGGGGAGGGTCGCGTCACGCCCACCATCAGACCGACTGGCACGAGGAGGACTACAAATAAGACCGAGATAACTCCGACCAGTGATACATCAGTAAACTCTGACCGCGAGATCTGAAAACACAGTTTAGACAAAGAACAAAGCAGAAGTCATGGCTCAAGGTAAGCTTTACTCTCTCTTTATTCTTTAACTCAACCCCTCTCAAGCTTCTTCAAATATTTCATCAACAAGGGGAAACTCTTTAACTGCATAACTGGTTAAAGGCTGACAATTATCTTGAAGGTTAAAAATACATAAATGTTTATTTTGAATTTGTCAAATTGCTTTGGTGTTTTCTTCAAACCATGTCCTTATATGGGCTTTTGTATTAATATCACTTTACATTTAGTTGACTTCATGTGCTTTTTTTGATGTTATTTTCTACATTAAATGATGCAGGATAGGATGGCCAAAGACAAACTTTCACATAGTCTCGTAGTAGAGTTAACCCGCTGTGTGTTGGTTTCAGTGCTGCAGGAGTCTGTAAAGAACGCTTTCACCAGAAACCTGAAGACTGAAGTACCTTAAAAAATGTTTCACCCTGGTGTCTGAGAAGATGATTGTTGCTCTGGCCCCCTTTGACAACTATAATAGCAGCCGAGAGCAGCTGGAGCCTCCACTTGTAAACTGCTGCTCCATTTATAGGCACAGAGGGCACCTTTCAAACAGGCCTTGTAAAGTCATTCCAGTCTGACTAAAGCAATCAAAAGTCCAAGATTGCATTGTATCAACACTGAAGGATTTCAAATCCTTGTTAACCTGTGTACACAAAGAAATGTGCAGCATAAAAAAACTAAGAAAGGTTGTTGAAAATCAGATTCTTTGGTATGAAAGGCCCACATTTCCAACTTGTAGAGTGTGTATTTAATGAATGATGGATTATTCTGAAGTTATTAATGAAATGCATTTGCCATTTGGTAAGCCTTTATTTACTTGATGTAGTCACTGAATAAGACTCTTGTTGCAGCTGCTACACACTAAAAACTCTGAATGTGTTTAAAATATATGAACTGTGTGTTGTACACAGAGCATTCAGTTGAACTTTAAAGTGTGCATCATGTGTCTGTGAAGTCAGCATGGGCGTTACCTGCAAGACTGAGAACTGAACTCTTTTCATTTCTGAATTTCTGAGTTTGTGTATTTATTTTTCCAAAAGGATTAAAATTGTTTTTACTGTACTGGCTACTCACCGCATGAAAAACAGCTCAATGTTATTTACGTATATTTCCTTAAAAGGCTATTTCTTGCCTCGTGCTGTTTACTGAGACAATCCTCTGCAATGTGGGTCAAAAAGGCATGCACAGTATGCAAGGGTTAGTGAAGAAGTCAGGGTTAAGGTGAAGGAATCTCTGCACATTCATTTTCTCTTTGCGAGTTGTGCTGCTACAAGTTAAACAACTTTACCCAATAAACTGCCCGCTGCAGGTACAATGCATTATGTCTGGCTGTGGTCACACATGTTCACAGCAAACCCCTTATAATCCTCTGACTACCATCTGCAGCTGTCCTTGAATAGGTAGCGTGATCATTTTTAAGGCATTTGACCCAATTGTTAACACTAACGTGTTAAATTGGAAACAGGACTAGGGTCAAGATCAGTAAAAAGATCAGAGGAGTCCAGACAAATGGCCCCTCATGGACTTCATGTAGAACAGCAGGATGTATTTGTATTTTATTTGTAAAGTCAAGCTGTCAGATCAGCACCTCAAGCTTGTTTCTAGAGCTTTTCTTTACACCAATGACTAATCATTTGAGAGGTCAACCTTCTGACATGTCACAGCGCAGCAGAATGAGGAAAATGTATTCATCGTTAAAGGGGGACCCTCGTTTTCCCTACGAACAGGAAATCCAAGGGTGGGATTGTCTTAGTCACAGTTTGCCCCAGAGAGAAGGTGCGGTTGTGTGTTTGCACACTAAACAGGGAGTGACTTTCTGTCTGTGTTTACATCCTGTTAAATCCATACAGAAAGCCCCATGAAACAGAATTATCTTACACTACAGGACTGTGCAAACTGGCAGTTTTCTACCACAGAATTTGTAATAGCTTCCGAGACCAAATAGCATAAAACGTGTGTAAACAAGCCTTCACAAACATCTGACGTGTCTCCCTTTTAAAATAACCCTGGAACATGAAGTTAATATAAAAGTGTGCTTGTTCTCACTAGGTAGGACAAAATATAATAAACACATTCAAAGGCACAGCATGAAGAAAACTAGACTCTTGTTTGCTGGTTAAATGACCTCAAGTCTGCTATAAAAAAAGCTAATTGTAAATTATTTTATATATCCTGTGTGTTATACACAGCTATACGTTTACAATGCACACAACAACAAGACTGTGGCATTTGAAGTGCCTCACAATCATGTACATTATCATACTGTTAAATTGAATCAAGAACCAAGTAGTATTGTCTGTGGAGTTAGATGTATGTTTCCAAGGTTTTAATGATTTGGTCCTCAGGTTTTCTTTATTGCTTTGTAGCATTTAATGCATCTGTTGTTGACAATCACAGGAGTAATACAAAAATCCTCTGTTAAAGACGATCTGTTATCCTCTGTGATAGATTGTCTTGTAATCCAGATGTCCAATTCCCAAAGTTTTGGTCTTATTTAAAAAACAGTAAATTCTTTTCTCTGTCCATGTCCGTACATTTTTGTTAAGGTTAGAGAAATAGAGAAATGCCATTGCCTCCTCTTTTATCTTGTTTTGTTTCTCCTCTGTGAAGCTCTGGACGTTGATCGCTGGAACCTGGAGTGTGAG